GCGGCCTCCCGGAAGCCTAGGCTGCGGGTAAGTTAGTGACCGACCCCATCTCAGTGCCATCGGGGGTCCGTCCGTATCTGTCCCGTCCGTCCTCTCGATTTCCTCTCTCAAGTTCTCGACTTTCGGCAGGGCCCGGGGAACGTCCCCGCTCCTCTCTCTCCATGTGATCCCCCGGCCTGCAACAATGCGACGGGATAGAGCGCACGCCCCACGAGCGAGTCCTGCTCCCTGTCTTCGGAGATGCCGACGGGCGTCAGGGAAGAGAAAGCGAAGGGGAAGAAACTTTCCTGAGCTGCGCCGCTCCGCATCACGCACTCTGGCCGAGCTTGAGCGGTCTGAGTGACAGCCTATTGAGTGTTTGTACTGCGTTGAAATATTCACAACGGCTGGGAGGATCGAACGGGAAATATTTCCATCTCGTTTTCACGAGTGATCCGTCCTCCCGGAGCTCCGAATATTCATTATAGCCATCCTGAGGTTTACGCTCAAAGGAGGTTGTCCGTGGGTTTTCGATCAGAGGAGTTGAAGACGAATCTGTTTCCGTTTCCCCATTCCGTCGAGTCGAAATCGGCGCTACAACTTCAGGTCAAGAGTCACAGGCGAATTTCTTTCGAAACGCGATCCTGGTGGGGTATATTCGATTTCGCTTGAGCATTTCGCGCATTGCGTTGGCTCACTCGTCGGTACACTGCTCGCCGGTACGCTCGATAGCCATCAATGCCGACGGGCAGAAAAAGCTTGAGAATCACTGAACTAGAACAACATTCGCTTTGCCGAAGATACGCATTACACTGACAAGGTTTCGCGACTCGAAGGGTCTATCGAGAGGTAGAGCTGCCCAGATTTTTTTCCCGTCTAGCTGACTTTTACGTCGGTTGAAAGCCGCTCAATGGGCACTTTGGTCGGTAAAATGGAGAAAGGAAAAATTTAATGAAATTTTAAGAACACTGCCTCCACTCCTTTTAGACCCGCCCTCCAGTCGGTCGGAGGGTAGGTACGTCGTCGCTTCTGGTGCCGCTTCCATGAGAAGATTACGAAGACAGCGTCGACGACAATGGCCAGGTCCAGAGGCTGGGAGGACTGCGGGACCCGGCGTCGGGCAGGGAGAGTGGAGCTCCCTTAGCTTCATGCTACATTGAGTCTCTAAATGCCATCAAACGAAAGTGCTGGTGACCCCCCCCCTCTGTCCCCTTCTCGCAGCCAGTGTTCTTGCAGGATTTGTCAGTTCCTGCCAGTTCTTGTACCCACTCCACCGGCGAGTCCCTCGCTACAAGCTGTAAAGGGCGCGGAAAGAGGTCCGCCGGCAATACTCGAAACTATTTCCGCTGCCTATAGCCCACTGGCTGGAGCACGGCTCCGGATCAAATCGCTCGCGAAGGTGATGAACAGCACCAGGAGGAATCGCTACGATGGCAACTGTATATAATGAAGACTATGCCTAGAGACTGACTGTTGGAAGCTGCTGCGATCGTTGCTACGATAAGGCACCGGAGCCGAGGATCGTAGCAACGACGACGAGGTCCTGACACGTCATTCGCCAAGGAGAAGAAATGTCGCGTCTTGGCGCTTTTCGTTGCTCTGAAGCCAAGGCTCGCTACTGCACCCTCGCTAGTTGACTGGATGGATGACTGGCTGGCTGGATGGATGCTTGAAGAGTTCACTAGCAACGGATGCAATCGCACGCTCGCATGCTGCCTAAAGGGCTAACAGGCGTGAGTCTGTCGGAAGCTCGTTGGATGGCTCGCTCGCTCCCGAGCGCGCGCGCGCTTCCCCGTTCGCGCAGGATGGCTGGCGTGCTAATTTATGGAACGTAATAAGCATATTTTACTCCTTTATTCTTTCGTCGTCGTCAACGCCACAGCGCTCGCTATTCCCACTCGCTCAGCCTATTAGTCATGCAAATAACAGCAAAGGCACAACAACGCCGTCGTCCGGGGCCTCAGCGACGCCTACACCGAAGGCGGCAGTCGAGACGACAGCAACAGCGACGACGAGTTCTACGACGCGCGAGAGCAGCGCTTGCTCACGTTCGTCGAAGACACGCGATGCTCCTCCGACGGGGGGAATCTCGGGACTAATTTTTTACTCCCACTTCAGAGATTGTCACGAGTTTGCAGGAATGCTCCAAGCAGGAATGTCATCCGCGGTTTGACGGATCCGGGGGTGAGATCCTATGAGTCCGGAGTGCACCGAGAGAATAGCGGAAGTCGCTCCCATCTCAGGATTCCCGACGGAAGGATTATCTTGGGGCGCCAACTCGAAGTTCGTATGGGGTTCGTCAGTCCCCATGCATTGAGGGAAGAACATGTTAGGATTCGCACCGTTGAGACGCTCGGGGGAAGTATGATGATATCTTACGCGCACTGGTCTCTCCACGCAGTCCTTCTCATCCTCCCGACTCCTGAATTGGTAGGTTGGCCACGCGAGTTCACAAGGAGATCTTTTGCCGTTCCACAAGTGACTCATACATATGCAAATGGATGCCTTTACCCACCGAAACTCTTCGCTCTGTTCTCTGCGGTCGGCGGCCGGTTGGTCGGGCGGGCGCCTTGCCCGACCGTCCGCTCGCTCGGTCGCTTTAGATGTTGGTTTAACCGCGCTGCCGGCCTCCGACTTAATTGACATGGATCCAACGATCGAACAACGGACGAGTTCTCCCTCTTCCGCATGCTCGTCGTCTTCGTACTTCCGTCGAACGCTCGGTCTTGCTTTTTGCACAGTCCGTAGTATCCCTCGGTGGTTGGCTGGTGGTTGTTGCGTCACATACGCGCCGGCAACGAACGCTTTGCGGTTGAGTTTCTCCAGTGGAGGAAGCCGAAGTGCAGCTGAGGCGATTGGTTGGTGTGGATTGTTGCGGGAATCGAATTCACTTCATCTTCTGAACGGGCTCCACAAGCCGGCTCATCCGTCCGCTCTAGCGACAGTATCCAGCAGAGGAAGGATTTCGTCCTTGCCTCGACCGATTCCGGTTTGTGCAACTTCCGGAGTAGCCGCTCCTTTCCGTTGCTTCTCAGTCAGATGAAGAAGCGTGGAAGCGACGCGGGAAAGAGAAGTCTCCCGACGACGACGACGGTCGCACAGGACGTTAGTTGAACAAATTCTTTGGATAACCGCCGAGCGCCGAGTCTCCTGGGAGGGATTTGGAGACGATGTCCCCGCTCCCAGAATAGTTTATTCTTCTCTGTTTTTTATGTGCTCAGCTTGTTTGTCCGTTTGTTTGTTTCTCGCTTACCCGCTCACTCGTTCGTTCCCTGAGCCAGCCGACCACTTGCGAACCCCTTGTTCCTCTTCCTCGGACAGTATCCCTCGTCGGTCTTTCCGTGAGGGCATAGCGTGCTGAGTTACGCTCAGTCAGATGTGATATTTTCCTCTCGAAACCTCCGGGATCCGCATCTCGGTTCTTGAACCCCACTCCCTGGCGTGGTGTGGTTCCCTCGTCGACAGGACAAAAATCTCCGGGAATTTCCGAGGAACAGGTCGCCCGTCTAAGGAGCGACAGCTGGACGTCTGTGTTGACGGTTTGTTGCGTTTAAACCGCGACAGCGGGCGGCGGCGGTCGCGTCAGGTCGTCTAATAGGTTTACACACGACGGCGAAAGCCCGCTCTGCCACATGGTGAGTCTTCCTACGTGACCCTGGTACAAAGGACGTCGCTTGCTGGACTGCCAGAGGCTCCTCCTTCTCCGCTCATTCATTCATTCGTTCGTTCGCTCGCTCGATCGTGCGCTCTCCTGATGCTATTCTCTTGAACGCGCCAGGCAGTTTGCTCGTTCTTCGGGTAGCCGCCGACGACAAGGGACGGACGGACAAACGGACACCGCCGGAGACAGGATAATGAAAGAGCGGGAGGGGAAAGACGTTGAGACTGCACAAAAAGCGACCTAATTATAATGAGATGATCCTAATAAGGTGCGCTGCGGAACTATCGTGCATACACAATGAGTTGCATTCGAAAAGATGGAAAAATTTCCACACTCACACCGGGATGTTCAGATCCATGGAGAACGTTCGGATAAAAACGATCGCGCTGTATAGCTTTCTATCCATCTATCTATCACTCCACGGTATCTCCGAACTGACCGGCCTTGGTCGCTCCCTGACTGACGACCGACCGAGCGAGGGCCCACTACGTGGATCGTCAGCTCGATGGCTGGCGTACGAGAAGAAGAACGTACGGCTCACCGTCGCTCCCCCAAACGGACGGCCCGTAATTCTCTGTCTCACTCAGAAGATGATTCCAACAGGATAAGGCGGCTGATGACGGAGAAATACGAGGAGTTTTTCCCAGTTTCTACGGACCTGACACGAATTGAACGGCACCGTACGTGGACGACTCCGTATTCTTCCGAAGCGTCGGAGTCCATTCTATCGGCCGGGAGGGAAGAATGAGCTCATGATTCTCTTGATATTCAGCTTTCTGGGGAAGCCTCAAGGTGATTTGTAAGTTTTTCATTCACAAAATCGTGGGGGAATCCCATCATCAAAATACTATTTTCCCAGAGAAGGAAATAGAACCGTCAATCTGACCCCCGGTAGAATTCGAGAGGCAGTCGAGGAAGAATAAAGTCTCTCACTCGGCCCTGGCCTCTAGATGGTCACCCGCCACAGCATTTGGAAAGGAAAGGTCCGAATCGATGGGAAAATGAACACAAGATTCACAACGCTCTGCGGCGACACTATTTACATTGGCCGCGGCCAGATAAATGACTCGGCTTCATTCTCAAACTTCCAATATCTGATAACCGACGCAGACAGCGTTCGTTCTCCTCAGAGAAAAGGAAACTAAAAATGATAACGTGTTAGATGAGGCCGGCCACTGCGCGGCCCACCGGGGGGAGAGAAAAGTCGAGACGGACTTTTTTTTCATTAACAACAGTTGGGACAGCGAAATCTTCCCGGGTTTATTGGTTTTCTCCGCTGTACATGGCGTTCCGTTTTCCGTTTTATTTTCATTCTAATTGAGTCCATTGTCTCAATGTCACATCATTATGACCGCTCTGATCACAGGTTGATTTCCTCGCCTCTGACAAGACGGGCACGGAAGCGCCATGCGTCTCTGAAACGCAGGAAAACTCATCGACAAAACCCTGGAGAAACGTCGCCACGCAGACGACAGCTGTCAGCTCCTTCCGGCCCGCAAATCTCGCTCAAGACGCTTCCGATCCACAATCGAAGCATAAAAATGAATATCAGCCCAAATCAGTATCAGCAGCAGAATATCAGCAGCAAGAAGATAAAACGAAAAAAAAATATCAGCAAAAAAAAATGAACATCAGCAGCAGATTTTCGTACCTGTAATCGGTCAGGGGTAATCCGCTGCGTTTGGCTATGGCGAGGACTTCCTCAGCGATGTTCTCTTGGGTTGTTCCTGTCACATCGATGTATTCACATTCGGAGGCCGCGTAGTGACACGATATGGCTTTTCGGAAGCCCTTCGATCTATTAGCTCCGGATCCATGGATCAAAAGCGGATGGAAAAAAACCGTGTCACCCGCCTCCATCTCCATGTGCACCCTTTTGCCCGCGACCTAGACGATACGGTGACTGAGGTTATTTATCAAAAACGCCCGAACGAGAGCCTCATCTCACGTCAACAATTATTGATCACGGCACGGTCACCGTGGGAGAGCCGGAGGACGGCGAGGAACCCTAAACTCAGTCGCACGGTGGCGAATTCCAGTTCAGAATCCGGCATTCATGGAATACACCCACATCAGAGCCACCATTCGACGAAGAAAGTAAAGGGCATACCTTTTCGTAGTCCTGGATGCCATGATAGGCCTTGTTCACCCCTCCTTCCCACTCGGGGTATTCGTGCGCGAGCAGAGGTCCCTCGTGACTGCCGGGTATCCCGACGAGACAGCCGTTTTCTCGGTTGACTCTCTCGAGAGCGGTCCATGCGCACACGACGCGGTCGGCGGGCCGGAAAGGAAAATAGTGTAGATCCTGATGTAGAGGATGCCGTGACGTGAGCTTTCCCGTATCTGGCGGTTTATTGATGAGCATCGTATGCATAGCCATCTGGTTAGGGCCCACGAACGCCTCAACGTAGTCGAGCACCCTGGGATTTTTACAATATTCGAAGAGCTCGTCGTCGAGGAACAGGTTTTGGAGTTTGTTCACAACGTAAACGTCGGGGTTCTTGACGTCCTTGAGGGCCACGTCACGCATAACGGTCAGTCCGGGAACTTTGACTTCCCCACTGGCGATAGCCTCGAACCGCTTGACGAACCTCTCGAGCTCCGAGGGCTCGAACAGGTTTTTGATGATTAGGAAACCATTTTTTTCGTAGAAACCTCTCTCGTTCGGCTCGAGCTTCGGGTGATCGAGTGTGAAACGGAATTGAGAGGCGAACCGACCAACGAGGGTCCCGCCGACGAGCCGATGTTGATGGCCCACGGCTTGGAATAGTGCCGAGCTCACGCGGAATCCCGAGAACATTTTGCACCTCGGGTTTCGAGCTCTGAAAGAGAAATTATTCGACTTATCACTGCTCAGTGCGCGCGCGTACTCTTTTATTCGGCGAAAGAAAAGACCCGCAACCACGGGAGCGGGTTCAGTCAAGCGTCACGGATTCTCAGCCAAGAGATCTCGATTCATCGTTTCCGGGGCGGACTGCCTTGACTAGGTCTCGCGAGGGAAAGCGGTTCCGCGCTCCATGACCTTCTCGAACACTGTCACAGCTCCCATCTCAAGAGCTCTCACAATTACGTACGCACGATTCTCCAATCAAACAGAATGAGGATGCGGAAGGAATCGGAACGGCAAAATTGCTCGAGTTCGGTATCCGGGTCGTCCAAAGACGAGCAATATTCCGGTTCGGAAATCTGGCTCGTCCCAAAATCTGTTCAAAATTATTTATCGACAAGAACCGCCGTCGAGCTTGAACACGGATACTATCCGTTCTTGACGTGACCTATCACGATCATGATTTTGGGAAATTGACTGAGCTGACAGCTAAATTTGGAAAGTATGAGCGCAGTAAGAGAAAATATCCCCAAAACGTATGAAGTTCGCAGTTCAAAGCGACAGTTACTTGCACATATTCCTCGTGCATATTTCCCGCAGATAACGTTTCACACCATCCTGACCCCTGAGAGCGCTCAATCGTGAGAACCAACACCCAGCGCTCCCCGACGCGAAACAATCAAGAACAGGGACCTATGACGAAAAGAAGCTAAAAATATATTAGTATCAGGTCCAAAACAAATCTTCTGCAGCTGTTTGACGTCAACTGCGGTGGGTGAGAGCTGAACGTGTCCACCGAATGTCTTCGCATCCCGGTAGCTTTGACTGCCGGTCGGACTGGTGGGTGGGAGCTTAGCTATTAAATGCGCAGTGGTGGGTGCTAATGCCCGTGGGGTCGGCCAGCTGTCCAGCAAATGAGCGCGAGAGAACGAACAAGAGGAAGACTTATTTGTCTCACGACCGCTCGTAATCTTGATATGTGGCCCTCGGCGAGTGGTACCTGATTCGCGAGGTCAGCCAATCAGATCAAATCGTCGTATTTCACGAAGCCAATCGAAACTCGACGGCCCCAATTCATTGCTCCCGCCGTGATTGCGGATTATACAACGCAAAATAGGAGGAATTGAGCGGAATGTTCGAACACCCGGCTCAACTCGAGGGAGGTTCGTCAACAGAGATATTCTCTCGTCGATTGAGATTTTCGGAAGAGGCACACGCGGCTCTCCCGCGAAACGTCCGATGTCATCCATCTCCCCGAGAGAATGAGAGAGCGAGCGGCAACGCTCCCACAATGAACTTCGGAGGTACTCGACCTACAGAGAAACCCCTGAAGCACACCATCATCTTCGCTGAAGACCCTTAAGTTGCGGAAAACGTGAGCGAAGCTTCGAGGTCCCATTCACGACTCTCAGGAAACTCTTCTGACGAGATCCTCCCGGATCTCGAATCCGAGGCCGGGACGGAACGTAGAATCCCATCAGGCATTGCTTATCCTGTGCTCTCACTGACATCAACACTGCGGACAGCTGATTCCCCCGTCCCGAGCCCGAAACTTCACCGTATGACTTGTATCACTTACGTCGGGAGCAGCCCTGAATCACGCTCTTCCGAGATTCACGGTACCGGTTCCAGATAAAAGCATTGCTCGTGGGTTTTGGTGAAGAAAAACACAGTCTCCCCTCTGCCCGATTTCGGGTAAACACTTGCTAACATTCATGAACTGACGGGAAGGAGGTCGTTGAACCAGCCAATAGAAGAAGTCCGACGATCAGCGTCATCAGCGTCGTCTGCTAGCAAGGGCAGCGCGCGCTTGTGATGTAGATATAGACGTCAAGCCGCATCCGCCCGAGCAGTCACAATTTATGCTCCCGGGATTTGTCGGACGCTTCGCGCGAAAATCCGTCGGATGAGCATATGGGTTGATGATACGACGATTCAGGACCTGGATTCCCCCTACGATCGGATGCCTGGGTTTCGATTCTCAGGAAGCACGATGCGTTTATCGATTCCGTCGATGAGTTATAGCGTTGGTCGCTTGAAAATCGACGCAGAAAAATGGTGAACTCTTCCGTCACGAGAAAAACGTTCTCGCTCAAACGCTGGGTGCTCCAGGCCGGCACGGTGTTAATGCTCAACAGTGGAGTATGACGTGAAGAAATCTCGACCACTCAAAGCCTGATTACAGCCTTCGTATGCGCAGAACGGCGCGCCCCGCAGCCGCTGTCTGTACACCGTTCCATGGTATATGCCGAACAAGGACCGTAGTCTGTGTGCGAACTCCTTCCCTCGTAGCCTGAGTTGTTCCCCTCGGCGGTGGAGGGAGGCAGGAAGGCTCTGGTACGTTTTCGGAAAAGGTCTTCCCGACCAATTCCTTTCAAACGACCTTCGTCGAAACCTGCCAGCCGGCGAATCCGAGCTGAGCAAATTCAGCTCGCGTGCATCAAACGATTCGCTACCGTAGTCGTTGTCGGCGTTTTCTGCCCCGGTAGGAGACATCTCGACGGAGTAGTACATTCCTTTTCCCGCTCGGCTCCCGCTCGGCTCCCCTCGGCGTGTACGATTCCGTGGAACTGCTGCTCTCAATACAGCGTGGCAAAATCGGAATACAACCTGCACCAGACAATGTATGATGGGGAAATCATTGACTGAAAAACGTTGTGCGTCTTATCATGTGTTCCCCACGTGCCGGATTCTCCAGCACCGACCCATGGCCGGCAGCCATGTTTCCCGCTTTGTAGATAAGCGAACAAAGTATGTACCGAGGAAAAAGAAGGAACACCGTCCGGCAGGAGCTCAGCTACCGAAAGAACGGCGAAGGAACGGAAGGGGGCAATACTGCCAACGTACTCGGCGTCAAGTGTTTCGTCTTGTCCCGGAGAGTCACTGGACGACCACCCACACCGACCAAGTCCATCAGGATGTGTCGCGTTAGAGTTCCCGAGAAAGCTCTCCAATGAGCCGTGAGCAGTCTCTACGAAAGCAAGTCATTCAGACCCCGAGCAGCAGCGGCTTCTTCTTCAACGCGAGGACAGCTTATGGTTTTCACTGTTGAAGCTTCTTCCCCCGGTCTAGATGGATATACTGACAGGCAAGAAAGTGTGTCTGCAAATGGCTTCTACCTCACGAACGCGAGATGTAATGCGTTCGCTCTCCTCCGCCATCAGAATGTGCACGTCGCTTTTGACGCGCGCTGTTCCCCGCAACGCAACATCGGTCCCCCGATTCCTGAGAGGAAGGCTTTCACTTGGAATAAACACGCTGTCGATTGTCTCAGAAGCATTTTCGAACACACAGATATTCCACTCCCTCGACCCCTCCCCCCCCCGCGGGCGTCTCTTCATGACGTTTTCGCTAAGATCGGAAAAGCGTGTCCCCGGGAGACATGCTCCGCAATATTTTCTCAAGAACGACGTGACTCGCTCCGGAAGACCTCGTCGTTGAGCGCTCCCGATTCACTCGACATTGTGGTCAAGCATTCAGAGTTCATCCGACTGTGTAAAAGAAAATGCTGTGTACATCGATAAGCACTTGGAGAGTAAGGTACGTGCCGAGATGTCTCTGCGCCAATATGATCGTCCTCTGGTCGCTCGTTCGGCCGGCCGGTCGGTCGGTCAATCGCTCGACCGAATTGTTGGCTCGCTCGCTCATTCGTTCTTCCTCTCTTCGCCGACCACCGCCTCTCCCATCGATTGTCATACCTCTACTTCCCATTATCTGAGTTCATACAGTGGTCAGTTAGTCTTCGACGGACTTGCGCTGCTCTCCCCCTCATCCTGTCTCTCGATTCGTCCACCGAGCTGGGCGACCAGTCTCTCTATGGGCCCCCGCATGGCGCAGTGTGTCTGATCTATATGGGCATCGGAAATTGCCATCCAGCGACTTCATCAGCTTCATTAGAGACTGAGATGATCCCCTGCAACAACTCGTTTCCTTTTGTGTCCCCTGTAAAGTCTCAAACAAGACCTGAGGTCAGCTGCCAATCGTGTCCTCCCGTCTCCTGGGTACTGCTCTCAAATATTCCGGAATTCCTGCATGGTATCGAATCCGGTAGCTCGCCCGATCCGATAGAGTTCCAGAGTCGTGAAGAGGTCACGAATAATGGTGAATTGAGTTCCAGAAAAGCACTGAATGTCAATCTCAACTCTTTTCCGATGTGGGAGAAATCCTCACGCGTAGATAACTCACGCCTGGTGTCATCGATCACCGGGATAAACATTGACCGAAGCTCGTCACTTTCAAATTGAATATGGCAGTCTCCAGGGGCGGCAGTATCCAGTTCGGTTGGAGCGGCGCCTGGCGTCAGGAATACCGCCGTCACTGACATGGCTCCACTGCAGACTTGGCTGCTGGCCGTGGGAGATATATGGCTCGCGCGGAGAGTTTCGAAGGAGGTTCCGTGGAATATGCTTCTCTATGCACGACAACGTTCTGCCAATATATTTGAGGGAGGAAAGCGCAAACGAACGAAAAATAAGGGAGAGACAGAGCGGGAGCCGGGTAAGGATTGCGGGTCGACCCATCGCCGGCTCGGTCGCCGTCGACGTGGGAGCCGGCGCGCCGTCGTGAGGGAGCATCGTTCGGGTAGCGAGGGAAAACGGACCAGTTGAAGAGGGGGGGGGGGCACACGGAGCCAAATGGGCTCAGAGAAGAGAGGAAGGAGTTTGAGATGGTTTGAATTTATTTGAGATATTTATTACACGGCCTCTATATCATCACTAGCCGCCATGGCGCAAGCTCCTTACGCGCGCGACTTGCTTTGAAGCAGAAAAGCATACGGGGGAACTTCTTCTCCAGAAAGCGCTCCGAGAACAATTCAACTGTTGCTCCATCAGCAGACGTCTTCCGTCCTTATGCAACGTAAATGGAATGATGGATCGAAGAGGAGAAACGGCAGAAAGTCGCTGCTCGGGAGGCTCCAGACGGTTTCTGATCTGCGAAATATTTCTATTTCGAGAACGTACGCAGGGTAGGTACGTCAGAATCGAGGTATGATGTCGCAAAACACAGCTGACGTCTGATGATGGATCGTGGTTATCGTACCTTTGAAACTCAATCATTGACTTGGGGAATCCCTTCGAAATACGTTTTTTTTCAACTGAAACCACTGGAACCCATGTGTTATTCCGAACGATTGATCTTATTCAGACAAGTGAGGCATGATTCCCATCAATCATTGTTCCTCAGTCGCACCTGTGAAGTTTGAGCTAACTCAGATTACTTCCGAAACAAATAGGGATCGTCTGGTGTTCTCTTAGACGGCCACATACTTTTGTTGCGGTGCTGCTGCGACCGAGCCGACCGAGCGCGCAAGTCGCGTATATTGGCTTGTAGAGTATTTGTCTAGCTGTAAGGAAGAAGCAAACCGACGTTCCATCAAATTCCCCCCTCTGTTCTACAAGGGAAACGCGCAGCGTCTCACTTCCATTCAATACCCCAGAACCAGCCCGCTAGGTGTGCGGCACGCAATATATTTCGAGCAAAGCCCTCTGCACCGTTCTGCGTCATAGGAGGGAGGGAAAGCCGCAGACGCTCATCCGATAAAAACAGAATTCCCCGAATAGAATTCTCAATAGATTTCACAGTTCGTTTCCAGCTGCCATCCCGTCAGGTGTGAATCTCGACCGTCGGGTACGCGGTTTGTCCGGAAATCCCGCCTCGAGGCTCACACCACAAGACTCGAGATTCTTCTAGAGCCATCTGACGTCCGACGCCTCAGGTCCGAAATTTGAAATGAGTTATCGCCCCACTCATAGACCGACTGCCGTTGAGAGACACGAAAAAGACGACCTCGTCTCTCCGAGTATTACCCACGAAGGCGTCAATAGCGAATGAATATGAATAGTATATTGTTGGCTCATCATAGAAGATCCCTACTTGTTGTTTATCTCGATTGAGAGTTCGACTCTTACACATGATGCCATCAGGTAAGTCAGGTCGATTGTATTCGATGAACACGATTTTCCCAATGATCACATTTGCTACGAAGCTCAAGAATTCCTCGGGCTTCCATGGAGAATTCGACGCGGAAAGTGTCTCCTCTTCAGAATTCGAGGGGATTGAGTTTCCGGGGAACGGCTCCAGCACGTGGAGAAGCCGTCCCGAGTTCTACTATCCCGCTTCCCGCCCGACTCCCTCGCATCGCTCAGCTCGAGACTTCAGGAGCTCTGGAGGAACTGATCCCTCCTCCGGTTTGTCTTCTCCTCGCTTCGGTTTCCCACTGTCATCATTTATATATCGAGCCAATTTTCTTCCCAAAGAAAGAAGATTCTGACTATGTGTGGAAAAGTCCAGATGTGCGGATTTGTTCACGTCGGGAAGGTTCGTCCCGTCTCGTGCTGGAAGTCTCGCACAAAGAGAGTTATGCAGAGCAACAATTCCCAACCTTAATCGAAAACTCTCAAAACGAGAGGAGAACCGCCATCCATTTCTCGATCCCCCGCTTCGTTCCCCGGTCCTCGTTTCCGTCCAGTCTAGCGGTCTCGGGATTCGATGGGAGGATCCGGAGGTTTCCCCTTTTTCCTACAACTCCCACATGTCATAGAGACGACGGAAACAGGCGAGCTGGGTCGGAACGGGAAAATCGACGAAATCTGTGACGGCCCTCGATTCACACTGCGGCCCAGAGCCGATCCCATCGGACGACGGCGCTGATTCTCCCCCAAAGTTTGTGGCTTGCTCCCGCAGTCGTCTCGCTGCCCTCTTCCTTCCCTTCCTACATATTCCCCCCCCCCCGCATCCGAGTCTGCTAGAAGTAATCAGTCTGGATACCGATTCCGGATTGGCTTCTTATTCTTTCTCCGCCCCGGTCTCCTTCCGATTCCTCTCAATTTCTACGTTTTGTCCCCGAGACGAGAGGAAGGTTTGTCGACGCTCCCGTCTCCGAGGAGCTCAAGGTGGATTTCATCTCTACCTTTCTTTCTGCCGTTCCTAAATGGATTTCACAAACGGATTTATCCCTCAGCGGCGTCTACGCAGTCCGCACACGAGAAAAGACGTCGCCGCCGCCGACGAAGATGACGGCGACGAGAAGACTAAGGAAAAATAAAGCAAGGGATTCGAGGGACTTTCGCCAGAGCGAGCGGCACTCTTCTCGCAGACACGGCCATACTCAAAAAGACAAAGACAGAACTCGGGAGAAAAACTTAGCAAAGAACGCCGACGGACGAGGCACCGAACGAAACAAGATTTATCTCTTGGAATACTACGAGGGAAAAGCGATTGTCACAAAAACAACTTCTTCAGCAAAGAGGAATTTCACAAATTGGATTAGGAAGCTATGAAAGGTCAACCGGAACCTCCAGATTGTTCCTCTAACCCACTTCGGAGAGTAAAAAGCATGATCTTTGAAAGCCCGGAATACGCCCAAGGACTCCCGATTTGCGCCGTGTATACGGGAAAGGGGCGGGGGACCTTCGTAGACCCGCCCCGATCCCACGAAGGCTGGAACTCCGACGTCAATATGCAGTAGGCAGAGGACCAACAGCGACCAACTCTATAGTTGGTCGCTGCATTATTATCAATAGAATCAACGACTTCAGGGAGGGATAGTCCCAAGGGATGATCGAGTTCGCGGACTTTGATCATGAATCAACGGATAAGCTGTAGCTCATGCAACTCTCATATATGTACCCGGATTCCGGATACAGTTCTTAAGGCGGTCCAACGATCGGACGCAAGCGAATTGTTCATTTCAAGACCACAGATTCGTGTATCGGTCGCCTGGGCCGGGGCTTCGATTGGATGGGTCCTTGGAAGTTCCACTTTTTTTCTCAAACCGAGAACTCAGAGGATGATTCCTGAGCGAGAGCTGTCGTCTCGCACGAGGACGATTGCTGAAAGTAAAAGGAAGACCCCAGGGAGAACGTCGTCGGGAAGAGCATGCGGGGAACCGAAAGAGAAAAGATGGGCATAATGACAACACTGAGTCATTAACGCTGGAAATGACCTCGAGTGGCCCCTGGGTCGGGTTCCGCTTCTTTGAGTCGCTGTGTGACTTTTCATATTTGTCGGGCGCTGCAGCGGGACGCTGACGAAAAAATTATGAAAAGAGAGACGCTTTAATGGAAACGAGCGACGGGAAAGACGAATTTCAGTCGCATGTCCTTTCGCCTCCCTGAATTTTTCCCTCCGCTCCGTATTTTCTTAGCCATGAACTGCACACATGGTGCGAAACGCCATACGATGCACAGGGGGGCGGGGGCGATCCGACACGGCTGACGGTGTGCTCATCGCAGAATTGTCCCTTTTTGCGGAGCAATTAGCTCCGAGGGCCGTGATCTGTCGAGGTCGCCCGAGGGATCGGTCGCGAACCGCGAGCAGAACGCTTTTCCATTCGTAATAGGTGCGACTCATGAGTCGAAAGTTTGAGAATCCTCCACAGAAAAGTTTCACTCGCAGCTGATGATGACGATTGTGATGTTGAATGATGATGATGCGCTCTGGGAGCATTTCTCTTTTGCGTGGTTGGACGAACTCCCTGTACGTACTGCCCGACTCTCTGCACTGCGGCTCCGAACTCTCTCTAGTGGACCCTAGTTCCTATTCGGCTAATCTGGTCGCCATCTCTACGTCTTCGCTGTCTAATTGCTGTTTCCGTCCGGACTTCCGTTCTTTCGGAGCTCGCTCGGTTGGCAAGACCGTCGGACAAGTCAGGCGGTCGGTCGCTCACTCGCTCCTTCAGACGAGTGAGCCGACTAACCGGCTAGCGGTTCGTCTTTCGGTCGGCTAGCTGCTTCGTCTGTGTGTATCTCTATCTGTCTATACGTCCGCCGTACGTCTGTCGGCCGAATGGTCCGTGTTCCTGTCTGTAGACTTGCCGTCTCGTTCGTTAGGCGTTTCCCGACGTTATGTAGTCTTCGGTCATGGTTTCTCCCGTTTTCCGTCTGTGCAGAAAAGGAAGCAGACTAGCGATAAGCTGGTGGACTTCTACTTAGCACAATCTCACCAGGGCTGCAGGCAATTAGAAATCGTAATGTGAGGTCAAGTCTCGCCTCAACAAGTTTGCCGCTCTTCTACCATTAGCATCCCACGATGAGATTTCCCCCCAATGAGATAAAGAGTGTGGAACGAACGCTGGAGTAGATCGCTCGTTCTATACCTGCAGGTCGGAAGCCTCGATGCGTCGCGTCATCGGTGGACGCAATCGGATCGGATGGAGCAAACTGGAGCGAGTCTCATCTCATTCGTCGAGATTCCCCTCGGAGAAATGGCGACCGGCTCCAAGGGCTAGAATTTTCCCGGGATGTTTTCCCGATTCCAACATCCGGAGCTCGGACTATCGGAGGAAACAAAGCCGGACCGAGTCATTCGTCGAGCCATTTCACATTCATTCGAGCTCCTCTCCATCTCAGATGACCATCATTTCGTTTCACCCCTGGTCCCGGGCCCGGGAGCATGGGAGCGAAACGATTAAGACCGTTTCACCGGGCAGTCAGTCAGACGGGCCGGCCGGTCGGCCCAATTTTTAGCCCATATCCAGAGCGACGTGTCCCTCGCGTCCATTTAGAGGGCGTGTTCTCGAATACGGGGAACATCATTCTTCCGACAGATAATTTCCTAGGGAGTCCAAATGTAGCGATACGAATTCAAGGGACTGTCATCCGCGCCGGGATTACATTACATACGTCAATGAGAAGGTGAGCGTAAGCTATTGACGTACTTGGCCAGAGCTCGCAGATAACGTGTGCCTATAAGAAGTGCTTACCACGTTCTCGACGAGCATTGTCGGCCCTTGTTGACGAAAGTGAAGCAGACTACACATCGCTGTAAACTGTGTGAGGATGCGTACCGGGACCGTGATCCTACTCGTGGCCGTTTTGGCGTTGGTCTGTTTGGCGAATTCCGCCGAGGGAGCCAAGAAACAGAAATCATCGAAAGTGCAGAAGTCGTCCGGCGGCAAGGAGAAGCAACGAGAAGGATCGGTAACCAAATCGAAAAATTCGAAGTCCGCTAACAAGTACAGCAAGGAGGCCAACGTCAAAGAGGAAAAAACAGCTGAGTCAAAATCCAGGCAGAACAAAAACAAGCCCGCTAAGGAACAGAAAACTGGGAAGGCGAAGAAAGTCAAGAGAGCCCTCGAACAAGAGGTCGTCGCTGCCGAAGAGGAACCCGAGACCAAATGCGAGTGTCCGCCTCAGCAGGAATGCGTCTGTGAAAAGTGTGCGGAAACCCTGGCCGCGTCCGAAGGCCGGGATGCAGAAGTTCCCGACGCTGTCGTTGCCGAAGTAGAAGAAGTCGCCGCTTGTGAAGCCACGACCGAGGCCGGTCTGTTCTGCGAACATTCCTGCTCGTGCACGCAAGGAACGGTCTGCTTCGCGAACTCGGCCGATGCTAGCCAAGGTATCTGTAAGGTTCCGGAGCCCGAGGACCTCGATCTGGGAGTTTATCTCGCGTGATCTCATCGAGAGTCTCTCCGAGGAGGAGAGCTTCCGACGTTGAGTGACATTGTACATACACAGTAGGCAGAAACATGACACAAGTTGTAATATATCCTCGATATATCCGTGATGTGCAAAAATCGAAACTCAAGAAAATAAATTGAGTTGATCGATCAGGAAGAAATTAGCTCCGCACTCATTCTGCAACAACACAGACCCTAAATAATCAAGTCCGAGAGAAGAGCGTTTAGTTTTCAGAGGCTGGGAATTTCTTCGAGAAATGCGATTCCTCGCTTCTCGATTTTAGGCTCGCGGACTGGATCCATTCGCGCAAGAGGCGAACGAGCTGCCGGGGAGAGAGAACAAAAAGCCTGAAGGAGCCGCGTAGACGATGTTTGAAGATTCGATACCGATCTCAAGTGGTGGGTGTTATCGATGATGATCGCGATACGGATGCTCTTCGATGTAGTAGGTTTACTATGGAATCGAGCACTCGATCAACAAAAGATCCACTTTCCATGTGCGCTTGTTTGCAACCGAGTAAGCGGGCGAGCGGGTTTGATGGAACAATGGAGTCCCGCGAGACGAGCTTTTTAACAGCTGAGCGGACTGATCCAAGTTTCTCTAATCTTGTCGACGGTGCCGCTAGGTCCCCGCCCTGGCTGTTCTAAGCAACATTGTAGTACGTTTTGTTGAGCGAGCGGTCGGCGATCTTTTCGCCGGGATCGGGACGGCCTTCATACATTTTCATCTATTCTCCCTATGCGGCAGTAGATCTACTCCCACACCTACCAATCCGTTGCTCGGCGGCGAAAGCCGAGCCGGGTGGCGGCGACGGGGCAGGATCGTTGCGTTAAGCAACTTCTAGCGCCGGCAGCTCGAAAGGACCCTGGAGATTCGGGTTGAGCTCCCGCTCGATTTGGGAAATCTTCCCGCTGCCTGCTCCGAGTCTCTTCAATCGGAGAGTTTCAGAGTGTAGTATTCCTGCAACTCCCCACCTCGTTCAGAGAGCCTTCAACGTTTAGCCAGGCACTCCCGCTCAGTCTGTCCGAGTGTCTTCTCTCTGGGCTTCCCGTTCCCGGGGTTCCCGTTCGCCACCCCAAGTTTCGTTGTGTTCGGCACTTGGATCGAGAAGGTACGGCAGTCGGTGCTCGCTCCGTTCCATCGTTCCCTTTTTCCCGTCGCTGCCGCAACGAGCGTCGTCGGAGACGAGATCCACGACTAGTGCTTCGAGTGAATGCATTGCAAATGCTCTCGTCGTCGTTGTTGCGGATGGCTGTGCTTTTTCTGCCACAGAAGCAGAGGAGGAAGAAGAAGAAGAACGGAACCAGCATCGCCAACTACGCGAGTCGAAAACCGCTATTGCGTTGGGGGCTTATTGGTCTCGAAGCTTACGGAAGCGGAGCCATCGGTGGTTGCGGCACGCACAGGTTCACGCCGCGCGTATTTTGCGCAGATGCTCCCCCAGTCGGTCGGGAGAGGCTACGGTGCTTTCGTCGGTTGTTCGTCTATGCACACCGGTTACTTTGGTTTCCCGACTGACACTCAAGCGGCTCGCGAGCGGCAGCGTTTTGATCGAATGCGTATCTCTTCTTCCCGGGGTGAGTTACGCAAATCCACGAATCTCTCGGGAGAGTCGCTCGCGAGAAAGTCGGACTCCGTCGGATTGTCGGATACCGACGGATTCGTGTTATTGAAATCCATTATCGGAAAATGAATCAGAGTGAGGCTCGCAACAAAGGCCGGGGCATGCGAAATATGAGAGTTTCATTCAGATCGGCCTCGCGATAGAACAGAGGTGCCCGATCGCAGCTTGCGGGTCGATTTTGTACCGGTAAAGGAAATTTCCCGCTCTGAGACCGGGTTCCTGTTTATTTACACGGGTCGAATGCTCCCAGCTGACAGTCGGGTGCCCGTATATGGCTTCTTGACCAGGCTGGTGTACGCCTCAGATCCCATACGTGAAATTGAGATACCAAGTGTGGACCTCCGGTGTCCGTCCGACACCCTTCATTGATCCCACCTGATACAACTGTTGGGGGAATAACGGCCCTCTCCTGCCCTTAGAGAAAGCTTCGCTTCCGGGAAAGTCTGCGGTCCCGGAGAATTTCTGTCTCTCACGACGTTTTTTCGTTCGTCGCAGCACAGTCAGAGGAGAGCTCGGATTGTCGCCCACTTTCAGGGCCAGCATTCGTTACATTCACTACCCGGGCGAGTCAGAATCCTGGTGCTAGGAAACAGCCTCTGGATTGTGAAAACCATTCGCACACACCGTCTCAAATACAAGCTAAAGCACGCAATTCTTCCGTGGTTGGCGGCACCGCTGCATCTCGGGCAGTTTGCCGCTAGCGTCGATGATGTACAACCGAGCAACGTTACGTTGTAGGCGAGGTGTGAAGAAAGAAGCCGCCATCCATCTCCTACAATAAGCACTTTATCATAATACACTCCTTCAGCAAGTAAGCAAGCCGGCAGGCAGGCAGGCGGGCCAGCGGGCGAGTAAGTCAGTCAGCCAGTGGCCGGCCACGCGTCCGCATGCACTGCGCCGTGCAGCCGCAGTTTTCCCGCGGCTACTTCTTTTCTCTCTCGACTTTGTTGTGCGGCCGAGGAAGCAACAAAACCGTCCTCGCCTCCGAAGCGATTGCTCGATCACGTCGCAGAAGTGCCCGACGTACTCGGGAGCAGAGCTCTCAGGGAACAATTTTCATTCGGATTCGGCGACTTCAGATTATTCATGCGCGTTCCGAGATTCTGTCCTCACCGATTAATTGAGAGAGAAGAAAATCGCCCGCCCTGCGAAGGAAAAAAATCGAAGTCAGCAGATCGGCTGGAGGGATTATTTTTCGTTTAGCGGCGAAGTTTCCAATTCGGCGAAATGTCTCGACGACAACTTCCCGTTATTTTCCTTGGATTCAGCTTGCTACGGCTCGTAATCAACAGTAGAGAACGAAAAACCGAGCGCCAAGAATAAATACGTGTTCACGGAGATCGAGAGGAGAGAGATGGAGGAAACAGAGCGCAAGAAGAATTGCATTCCCGGTCGGCGGAGCCGATTCCAGGGAAAAATAAAAATTCCAGGCCCACAGCTGCTCGACTGCGCTGACAACAACGTAAAAAGTTCCGTTGTTCAAGGTTGTTGCGCAAAGGCTCTGGGAGCTCAACCGGCTCTAATCTCTCGCCCCGGGCGCGAATTTGCATTTCTCGGCGTTCGTGCGCTCTGCCTGCCGTCTGTCAGTGAGCCTGTTCCGACTGCCCAATCTGAAGCGTTTTCCCTCGTCTTCGAGTGAAAGACTCACTCGGATTGACTTGTCGTCGTCGCCGCCGCCGCTGGACAAGGCCAACGTTGAATACTAACGGCCCGGCGCGCCTTTCCAGACACCTACGGCATCGTCGACGAAACGTCTCTCGCTACGTAGAAGCCATGGCAGGTAGTCGGAGTACGGCTATATAACGGACTTTGTCCTAATCGCCTCGGTCTCCGTATGTAATGTTGGACGGTGGTGGTGCCCAGTCGGCGGTAAAGTCGGGCTCAACTTCAGCCGGCGCGTAGACTTTTAAGTCGGTGTGGGTGGAAGTGGGCTGCCAGCTTGCACGATCAACCGCCTGGCCTTAATAGTGAAGCGGAGAACAAGCTGAGCGAGCGAACGAACAAACGGACGTGCCAGTGAAAAGCGTGAGTGAGACGGCGGCGGGAGAGATTGCTGCCGGGCGTGCCCCCCAACCCACCGAGCGCCCCGCCAACATGATGAAATAGCTCCAGCTCGAGAAGAGATTGAGATTCCCCTCACTCGAGCGTGCGTGCCACTGGTCGCTCCGGTTTCGCGAGAGTGTTAAATGTCGAATCCCGGCGCGGCCTCCACCTTGTCTTGTTCTGAATCTTCCTCATCTTTCGCTCGTTCCTCGTGTCCTGACTCCGAGGTCAGATCGAGACAAGCTCTCGATTTTCTCCTTTGAGTCTGTGAGGCCATCTCGGATCTCCAAAGGTTGAGAATATGTTTATTCGAGCTCTGCGGTCTGCGGCTCAATCGATTCGATATCCACGTGCCGGGAGTGAGGGAAACATCGCATAGGAAATCACCGCGTCGCTAACCCAATTCGTTAGTAATTCCGTTTAGTAGCGCAGGGATGGCCGTGGCGTAATCGGGAACGCATCAAGAGATAATGGCACAGGTGCACGATATCTTCTTGAGTCGCCGGTGGACGAGCAATATCTGCTGCTGCTCTTGGTGGTGGGGCTGCGGCTTGCACTGTTGGCATTTCTCACGGCGGCGTTGCACGCTCGCTGAACCTGGTTCTCCACTCAATATGTAGTTAATATCGGTCTAGCAGCGCCGGCCGAACCATCGCAACACCACAAGGAGCATGAGACGACTGACCACCGACTTGCACTATTGGCTTATTTTCCGTTCCGCTTCTCACATTTCCGCAACAGTGTTCCGGCGCTTCTTCCGTGCGCTCTCACCTTCTTGCTAGTATTGCTCGTCTGCCCGAATAATCTCGAACGACTCGGTCCGGTCAGTACAGATATGTTTATCGACTGTTGGCGTGGACTGACGGAGCTGAGTCCAGCGCCGGAATGACTTCGTATTCCTTGAACTCAATCCGAGAAAAATGTCCATGTAGAAAGAAACGGAAAATTTTTCAAGTGAACAAGGAGGAAGAATTTTCAAGTCGACAAAAGCAAAAAGTGTTCATTTAAACGAAAACAAAAAATGTTCATGTCGACTAAAACAAAAAATTTTCATGTAAGCGAGAACGAAGGAATATCTTGTAGGGAAAATGACAATTCATCATGCAGGAAAATTGAAAATGATCATGTAATTCCCTCAATTCCGTGCGAAATTTTTATGATCCGAAGTGACGTTCCGGAGAGACCTCGCGCCGCCTTGTAGCGGCATCGTCGACGATCCTCGTGTGACTAGAGCCGGAGCCGCCATCGAGTTCCCTCGAGCCTTCGCGAAACTTTAACCTGGAGCGTACCCTTTGGCAGATCACTTCTTCTTCTCGCTGCTTTAGCCCCTGTTTCCGTTTGTCTGTGAGTCCAACGGCGCTGGTTCGCAGCAGCGGTAATGATTCGCGGTGGCGGGGCCGACTGTCTAGGCGTCGACCGGCTGGCTGAACCTTGGCTGCGGAGCCTCGATTCTTTCTCTCCTGGGTTAACATTAATCCAATCAGACGCATAG